ATATGAGAACAATGAGCTAAATAATAAAATTCTAGGGGACATTTTTAACTCGGATTTGAAACTTGCTAAATGATAAAAATGTTTTACTGATTTTTTATTTTATTTTACACTTGTAGAGGCTATAAATGTTTTAGTGTACAGTATTGTTAATAATTGACATTTGCCTCTTTACAAATACAGGTAATTGAGTTTCCTCCTACAACGCTGTTATTGCAAGTATGACTCAGCCCCCTGTGAGCAAAAGGTGTGAATCAGGGCCCCAACGATAACCAACACAAAGAGGGAGAGAGGGACAAAAACAAGGAGACGTTGAGCCCCGCCTGCACTCACTAAATACACATAACACGACACCTAAGAACCACAGCTGAAGCATCCAAACCAATAAGCCAGGTGATGGGGCACATGACTTTCTATGAACACAGAGCTAATCAAGCCTATTGTTAAGCGATGGCCCTATTTTGCATGTGACTAACCTGTTTGTCCAGGTGGAGGCAGTGCTTATAAGGTTGAGTTCACCTGAAACTCATCAGACTGAAGAAGTCTCTTGGAGGAGAGACGAAACGTTTCATTACAGAAGAACCCATCCAGAGGACCTACTTATTTTTTCTTTTTGATTTCCAGTAGTTGAATCTATGCCGTTAAGGATTGAGGCAGTTCTGAAGGCAAAAGGTGATCCAACCCGGTACTAGCAAAGTGTACTTAATAAAGTGGCCGGTGAGTATACGTTGAGTAATGGAACTCACTTATTACCCTTTTTTAAACCAGTTGAAAGAACACTGAGTCCTAGTTCTGTGTTCTCACTAACTGAATGAGAAACAAGATTTATTTCTTCAACTTCGGTTTGAATTTGGCTACGAAACTGAAAAAGTGGTCTCTGCAGTCCTTAAGTAGGAGTTTTGTGTTTAGTGATAGGAGTTTGTCCAAGACATGATTGATATGTTTAATTTTTGTAGGCACAGTTGTTTAAAGATGCTAGGAAGCACCTTTATTTTTAAATCTGAATATTAATTTTAGGCATTACTCGAGACAGGAACAAGCTAGCCAAACGAAATTTGGAAGCCACCCTTATGGAGAGATATGTTTCAATTTGGCTCAGTCAAAAACAACRTTAACCTTCCTGGAAAAGATTGATATGCGAATGTGATTATTAATATTAGTCATAACTTTGGACAGGAACATGCTAGCCAWACGGAATCTTATACACCACATATCAGGGAGGTATGTGTAACAATTTGGCTTGGTCAAAACAGCCCTAACCTGCCAGGAAAAAGATTGCCATTTTTAAAGGGGACCTATTATGCAAAAT